ACACTTATTTTGGGGCAGAGGGAGTACTTCCTTATCTGTATAAATATTAGAGTCTAATTAGTATCGGACCATCATATGATTCATATGATATTCAAAACTTTACCATAATTGTGTCCAGAAACAGATAAGTACTAAGCACTAATGTCCATATTCAATTAAAATCGAAATTTATATTGAGGACGGTGTAGGTACCTACATAACAAAGAATGCCCACTGGCCGTCGCAAATGCAATACACTTGCGTCTTTTGGGATCCAGTGCCACTTGATATTAGTCTTGCGATTAGTCTAAACGTGAAAAATAAATCGCCCCAGATAAAGAATCTAAAATGTCCGAAAAACCTACCATACGCTACCCGCCTATGTACCTATAATAACACAGTAGAACAATTTTAGAAAAAATTCTTATTACAAGCATTCTGAAAATGAATTCTGAAAGATTATTATGTGCTGAATAACTATCTAATAAGACATTATGCCTAGGTCGTCAAAAACATTTTTTTTTGGAGATTGTTCATAGATAGTTCCAGTTAAAGTTCATATTGCACATAAATTGAAGATTCTTTTCTATGTTTGTTTTTCACTCATAATTAAGTTGTTTCACAATTATATAATGAATTAATTCTTATTTTGTTAATTGCATTATACTATGTAGGTATTATACAATGTGTTGTCCTAAAATGGTGTATACTGTTGGGCAATAAACGCTATTATTATTATTATTATTAAAAAGGTGTACTATTGCATAATGGAAATAAATATCTAGTACTGCCGACTACATACTCCATACAAACTGCACTTTCAACACTTGATAAACTGTATTAACGATAAAAAATTTGAGTGCAATTTGATAGGCGATTTAAAAATTGCAGCCTTAGTAACTGGCTTCCAGTCTGGATATACCAATCATATGTGCTTCTTATGCAAGTGAAATACAGGAGAGAAAGCATTTCAACATCTGAAAACAATATTTCCTAAGCTTTCTGCTGCTAACATAAACCAAGGTAAAAACTAAAAGATTACAGTGAATTTCAGTTTTCATATTATACGTTATTTGTTGTTATATTGTACGTTTTCTATATTTAGGAATTTTCATTCGGCTTGAAATTCGAATGAAGGATCAAATGTTCTACGCCTATTTGAATGATACGGAAAAATTTACTTGGGAATCAATTAGCTTAGTGATCAGTGAATTTTTAGGAAACAAACGTTCTACAAATTATGTCTTATTTAAATTTCTTTGCTGATAATCTTTTCATCGAGAAATCAAGAAAATCGAAGAAAGATTTAAGAGAAAGACCCAAGTATCAATTCTTTCCAAATACATGAGGCTTTTATAAAGAGTTAGATCCTTCTACATATTCTAGGCGGGTTAAATATTCGTAGACATAATTAAATATCTGTCGACAGAAATCTGTGGAACATTTGTTTAGTGCTTCTTGCGCGTTTTTCTATGTAAAATTAGAATTCACTTCATTTTTTCCAATTGTTCACCGGACGACAATAAAAATTTAAATAATTTTTTTTTTTTGACGACATGGGTATGCTATGTCTTTTAAGAGTTGTTCAGCACAAAATTACCTTTCCGACCATGTTTAGAAAATATATGTAACAAAAACACTGTTCTACTGTGTAATTAACAACGGGCGGAATAATGTCTCAGACGCTCGATCCAGTGCTGCCGCGTCGATACTTTAATTACAAATTGTAGCGGAGCTTTCAAAGCGCTATGTTAGTACCCTCTCGAGGGCGCTGTCCTCGGCAGCGCCAGTATCAACCCCACCATGCTCACCCCCACTGGAACGCACTCCCACGCATCACAACCCTGCCTATAAAAGGGTCAACACGGCCGCTTTTCAGGCAGATGGAGCTCCACCATCTCGACCTCATGGGTTGCACTGTCTAAGTCCCCTTCTGGTCTTCGCCAGGGCTGCACCGTTTTCGGTCTCCTGCGCCGCTTCGATATCTTCACCAGGGCTGCACTGTTTTACGGTCCCCTGCGCTGCTTCGAGATCATCACCAGGGCTGCACTGTGTTACGGTCCCCTGCGCCGCTTCGAGATTATCTCCAGGGCTGCACTGTTTTACGGTCCCCTGCGCTGCTTCAACATCATCACCAGGGCTGCACTGTTTTACGGTCCCCTGTGCCGCTTCGACGTCGTCATCTCCAGGGTCGCACCGTCCAGGTCCCCCTGTGCTGCTTCAACATCATCACCAGGGCTGCACTGTTTTACGGTCCCCTGTGCCGCTTCGACGTCGTCATCTCCAGGGTCGCACCGTCCAGGTCACCTGTGCTACATACATCGCCGTCGTCATCCCCTATGACGCTCTGAGTCCCGGGAGCCGCCACCATCCCCGACGAGAATTGCCGCCACTTCGAGAACCCATACCCTACTTTTGATTTGTATTGTTCTTACTATTAATAAACCGCTGAGCTACCACAAAATATAGTTTTCTTTTGGACTATATCAACATAATATAACATTTCAAGATCATAAATCTGTGTCCTGTGGTTGAAAAATTAATAAGGGTACTGCTTAGATCATATAATAAATAGATACCAATACTCAAACTGAAAGCTGTGACTAGACATGAAGCTATCTGTTGTCGTTTTCTACGTCAAGAGGAGTAGTATAATGCTATCCTTGTGTGATCACCACATCTTCATCTTTATTATATGCATTTCATCTGTATATGTCTATTTCACTTCCATCCTTGTACCGCACCAGCGCAACAAATCGCTTTTGACAGATGTTTCTTCTAACCTCTCTTTCGAGTTCTTGTACGAGAAACAATTTTAGAATTTAGAACAAAGATCCTATTTTAAGTGATGTAATCATAAAGGATCACAATTGCTGCCCAATAATTTACCATTCCTTTCGTTATCTACTGTGAATTATTTATAAAATCAAGCTGTCAACATCTTTCGTACGAAGTTAGTTCAGACATACTTCCTAAAATTTAGGCGCGCAAAATTCAAATAGTGATCAGGCAAGGAGAGCTTTATTGTAATCCCTCCATGCACAAGAGAGATGTATGACAGGAGGATGTCGTCACAGGCTCTCATAGGGAAAGAACACGGCGTGGTGGTATCTATTTATTATATGATCTAAGGGGTACTGTTATGTGCTTATTTTCCGTAGAAGTCTATTGCTAAACACACTAGGAAATTCAATACAAACAAAATACAACAAATATCAGTAACAATTGTATCACCTTAACTTACATTAGTACTGAACCCCGATCCCTACTCTTTAACCTCTACCTCCCTTCAAGAGGATTAAGCCCCCTTCAGCATCTGCGGTCCTAGATCAATCCCCCTTCACAGACCACGGCGACGGACCCTCTGCGACTTCCACAGTCCCCCTTTGGTGCTCTGGTCGTATGGGAGTAGAGATGAGAGGCAGACTCTCTGATTCTTCACCGTCTGGTGGCTTTACTCTCCGAATCCAGTACAAACACAAAACGGGGCAATAGAAATGCCTCGGCAACAGCTATGTGGCGATAATTTCAACGTGATGGTAACATTAATGTGGTTCACGCCAGTTAAGTTTTGGCACGACTTTTTCCCCATGGCGTACAAAAATGGCCGAATCTCGGCAGTACCGGTGTCAACACTGTCAACTGTCAATTTCCACTCTAAAACGTCGACCTCCCTGCGCGTCGTGCGTACCAGCGGCGTCCCACAATTCAGTGGGGTAACGTTCGATTTTTAAACCATAACAGTACCGAGTATTATTATTTGAAGTAATATAGTAATATAGAAGTAGTTTTTTTACTAGCTGTAAACACTCCTAGAGACGCACTGGCTACGACCTTGTGGACCAGATCAAAGCGTCCCCGCTACTCGCCGTAAAACACACCTTGCTTCAACTGGGGAATTGTATCCGTAAGATAAATTTCCGCGTACTGGTAATTAATACGCCGACTTTCTTCAATGCAATAAAAAGCATCCGCGCTTCACACAAACGCATACTTATAACAGGTAATAAGGTCGTCGCCCACATATTTTCATGAAAAAAGCAATGATTATAAATACAAGAACACCCAATTTATTCCCCAAAGGGCTAATTTATTAACAACAAAATAAATAAAAGTTGATCACTGTAGCACCAGACATTGACAAAATAAAAACATAACATATCGAATGGAGTTACAGACAGTTTTTGCAAACTTAATTAATACTCGATAAATGGTTTCAATTCAACAATAACAATAAATCATCAAATATGTAGATGAGTGCAGTCTGCAGTACCGCATTTCACGCACTTATAAAACTTGCTCAAAATGCCACCGTTCTCTGTTAATGCATGCTTGATATCGCCGGGCCAGTGAAGTCTGTAGGCTTCTCCGAGAAACCGATTGTTTCAGTGGCCTGCTGGAAAGCGTTTATCGGGTACTGGGCATAAAATACATACAAAAATAATTTATTAAGATGGAATATAAAAGCAGTACCAGTAAAATTTACTTGAGTTTTTATATTGTTAGAAATATCTTTGTTTTTATGCCATAATTAAACAAATAGTACAGACATTTTTAGTCCCTATGAACCTATTTTAAACCAAACGGTACTTGCCTCTGATCCTCTGCTGACAACCAACTGCTCCCGAAGTGGTACGGAAAGGGTCATAACTCATAAATGGCATAAGGGGCTGTTTTGCCGGCGTTTCTTTAATATTGGTCAAATGAGGCATGCTCTCTCTTGTCATCCTACCTCCATGGCAAGAGATTATGGCATGAATGAAAATTTAGCGCATTAGCGCAAAGAATGCGATAATTTCATGAATACCATGCCATAAGTGTTCTACATTATAAACGAATATCATACGCCGGCTAGCAGCTTTTGGAATTATAATTTAGTTCTGAAAAGTTCAATTTTGGGTCTATTAAAAATTATTTATGTGAAAGCAATCCTTGAACGATTAAATGTGGTTGCTACAGTTTTTTGATCATTCATTTTTCTTATAAATAAATAACACCAAATCAATTGCACAAAATATGAATTCTGAAGAAAATTTGAGTTTATCTGAAGAAATTTGAAAGAAATCCGAAGAAGCTGTGTCCAGTCCACGGTGTCCAGTCTCATCCCAAAAAAGTCAGAAAACGTTTACAAAAAGAATTTGAAAAATTCTCATGAAGGTGTGTGGTTTTTTGCTATAAAAGTTTGGTTTCAGGTGCATGCAATATTCGGTCTATTTGGTGCTTGTAGACGTATAGAATTCTACAATGTGTTAGCGATGTGAAGGAAGAAGTTTCAGTCTTCATGATGCATCTTAAAGGTACTAAAACTCATAGAACTAGAACATTTACAATTTTGAATAATGATAACTTAAACTACACTGGGTTCATTAAGAAGTATATAAATTTAAAGTCGAAACTGAAACGTTCTTTTTGTTCTACGGTGCCGGCAAATCTACCTATGTGTCATCTTAGTGGGATTAATACATTTGCCCAAATTTTTCGAAATATTGCAAAATATCTCAACATTCCTAATGCTAACCTATTCACTGGTCATTCATTTCAGCGAACGTCTGGTACAACCTTAGCAGATAGTAGTGCCTATATATGAATATTAGAATACCCAAAAGTTACAGTGATTTGAAAAGCGACACATTTGCTGAAAGGGATGTGATGAATTTGAGAGAGAATAAAAACAATATTGCTAGGAAGTTAGAATTTGTTAGCTGCAGAAAAAACATGGATGAAAATCATGAAAGAAATTTTTGCATCGACTACAAATGAAATTTCTAATTGTACCATTAATATTAATAATATTAACATAAATAAATTAATTAATAAAAAAATTAGAATACATATTTCGTTTTCAAGACGATTTTATGGCACAACATTACGGAGCGGATGCCTGAAAGTGACTGATTATTATTATTATTAAGTCACAGATAAAACTCAGCGACAAAGTTGATTCGAAATAATGACCTATACTTAATATAACCAAATTCTGAAGTTTTAGCCACTACATTTAAGTGTCAAAACAGAATGACATAAATAACAGATATAAAGTGGATTTGAACATTAATTTCACGTGTAAGTGACACTATGGTGTTCATTTAAATTTTTGGCACCTTCAATTCAAGCTTATAATAATCTAGAATATACGAATTCCCTGAAAATTTTGACGCAGATGAAGTTTCTTTGTCGCTAAGTTTTGTCTGCTACTTTACAACTGACAAAAAATAAATAATACTCCTATATAAAAGAATATTAGTTAAAATAACATAATTTTATTAAGTCAAAAAGTCATGCATATAAAAAATAAAAAATAAGTTATTATATCTACTAAACATAATTCACTTTGCAAAAATCCCGTAAAATTTAAAATAATGTTGGACGCTTGTGCGTCATTCGGTAGGGATATTTTACCTTGATCTTTATATGACCGGAAACAGTTGGCACGTTGTCAGTTTTTTAAAACGTGAAATTTTTCGAATCATGCTTGACAGAAAAACGATAAATTATTAGGGGCAATTGTTAAGGAAACATACTGCTTGACATGATTACCAAATCGATCCGTGTTGGTTACGTCCACAGAACAAGAAAAAGAGAAGTCACAGTCACACTAGCAAAAATTTAGTTGAAGGTTATTTCCTGGAGTGCAATAAAATATGTCTAGCTCCCAGCTCCAGAAGTTGACATAAATATATATATGTAATGTTAAAGTAACTGTAAAGAAGTATGCTACGCATATGTTTCAAATGAGTTTTTCTTTCACAGAATGATGTAATGATGTCATCAACATTTTACAAGAGCATGTATATCAATTTGGATAGATGCAGTGTAATACTAGGCAATAATAACAGTGTTCTATTCCCGAATTTCCGAGAAAATGGAGTGAACCGATCTGGATTTAATCAATAAAATAAATAGACTCATTCATCAATTTTTTGGGATAATATAAGCAATTCTCAAAATAAAAGACTCATCTATTTTGCACATTCTCAATGGGATTTATTCGGTAAAATTTGAGACGACGCGACGTAATCAATTTTTTGGAGGGGGATAAACAGATATACAGTAAACCCTCGTTACTTCGAACTCGGTTAAGAACACCTCGTTATTACGAACTGGAAGCGAAGTCCCAAACAGTCCACTTATAAAACGAATGCAACTTAATTCGGTTTACACGAAATTCGGTTAATACGAAACTCGAACAACTTTTTCGGCCCCAAGTTATAATTCTCTTATAAAATCACTCGGTTAACGCGAACAAAAAGTGCAAACTTTTTGCATCGTGCTCAAATACGATTTACTTTATCTTAATGGGTATCTAGTAAGCACAACGCAAAAGTATGTCTCTGTGTGGTATACCGAGTTGTAATCAGGTCGTTCTTATTGTTCAATGTGCTAACGTCCAAAATGCCATAGCAAAAACCAAAACGAGGCCAAAAATCCATTAATATTAAAAGGAAAATGCAAACTGCAGTGGCTAAAATGTTCACCATTCCAAAATCTGCACAGTCCACCATTCTGAAAACCCGATCTCAAATAAAAAAAATAGTGTTGGGACCATTTGCGTCAAATTTTTTCACAAAGTTGTTTAGGAAACTTGATCCATGAAATTTTATATGTATGTAGTACTAGTATTAATGTTAAAAATTTGGGTATGTATTGTTAGAAATCTAATACGAAGAAAATTCAGCTTAAATAAGTTGTTTTTGTTATATTTGTGTTAAAATGTCAAAAAGTGATTTTCGGTTATGGCGAATTCGGTTAACACGAATTGGTCAAGATCATGGTCCCGACGGGTTCGTGTTAACGAGGGTTTACTGTATTTTGATATAAAATCTACTATGCTTACGACAACGTTAAAACATGTGCAAAGCATTCAGTTTTGCAGTTGCTGATTCAATCAATAAAATAAATTGCCCCTTCATTATAACATTTTGAGACACCCTGTATGAGCAATTTCAAAAAACTGTCAATGGAATGGTAAATCACAGATACAGATTCATAATATTTTGCACATTTTAGATAAGATTTATTCAGTAAAATTTTGATGACGTCATCAATTTTTTGGCGGAATAAGCAAATATATTTTGATTAAAAATTTACCATGTTTATGATAACTTTAACACATCTGAAAGGTTTCAAGGATTTGGTTTTGCAGATTCAATAAATTGCAAAATGTTGTTTTATAAAATTTGATTTTTTTTCCAACAATCTGGACGTTTCAATTAAAAAAATTAATGCGGAATCATAAACTACATGTGTAAGATATTTTATACAATTTAAAACCCATTTACTATGTACAGTTCTGAAGGCGAGGTAATCACATTATTGCTGAGGATGATTAGAAAAAGTTTGGTTAGCGTTTTACCATTTACATGATATTCATAATCTATATCTATACTTATATAATAAATCTGAAGTGTTTTTTTGTTTAATTGAACGCGCTAATCTCAGAAACTACTAGTTCGAATTCAAAATATCTTTTTGTGTTGGATAGTCCATTTATCGTATCTACATATAGGCTACATAACATCACACTACGATCAATAGGAGCGAAGTAGCAATGAAAAATTCGGAAAAACGGGAAAATTATTCCTCCTTTGACAGCTTCCGTTGCTTACGCTGCTTAAACGGTTAAAGTTACGTAAAAATCATGTGTGACGAAATTGTTCCTCTCTAAAAGTTCTAAAGAAAAGTCCGCGACAGCATATGTCTATCTTTTAAGGTCGACTCAGTATACCCTTTTTTATGGTAATGAAATTTGTTCTAAAATAATAATGCATCTATACCTATCTATCTATCTATCTATCTATCTATCTATATAAATCTATATTAATAAAAATGAATCGCCGAAATGTATGTACGCCCATAAATCCAGAACGACCGCACCGAATTGGACGATTCTTTTTTTTACGTGTTCCTTATTGTCAGAACAAGGTTTATATGTAAGAAAATTTATAAAAAATAAGACGGCTAAAAGATAAAAAAAATTTTAAAATTTTGCATGGGAATCGCCACTTCGAATGAATTTGAATAGTTGGCGTTCCTGACGGACCTGTCGCCTAGCTGACGTGTCATACAAAACTATTTCTTCCGTGCGATTGTGAAAAGTATTATTGCATTTCAAGTCGTTGTTTGTTTTTTCGTAACAAAAAACGTCGTTTATTTTAAGAAAAGTGTTCGTTAAAGTGAATTTAGTTACGCATTGCGAAAGTTTCTTATTAATTTTGATCTGCCATTCTATTTACCTATATTCACTTTGTTGGTTTCGACAAAACCTCAAACTTTACCGTTATTCGAAGATTTAATTCGAAGTTTTCAGTATTTTAAAATTCTCAAGACAAAATTTACAGATTTGATTGACTGTGAAAATAATTCTCTGTCGTTTTATGAAGTTCATTACAATGCCGAGAAGACGACAAGCTGACATTGGTCCACGAAGTCAATCAAATGTGCGACGAACTACCTCAGGTGCAAATCGCAATGATTTATTTCATGGGTAATTCGGATACGGAAGTTGATCAGCGTTGAGCTCATAATCAACATAATCAAACATTGAAGCGAGACATTGGGTGGTATGAATAAAAGTGAGTAGATACTCATATTCGAAGTACGAAGTACCTAGAAAGAGTAATAATCTTATATACCTGAGCATCTACCCGATGTACTCTGTATCTACTTGTATCTCCCCGGACACAAATTGAACATTTACGCGTTTTGTGAGCATTTAATCTAAAAATGAGCATCGGCGTGGCAAATGACTATTTGTCCTTATAAATAATAAATTAAATGTAATTTTTTTTTTCCTTAAGAATGTAGAGTTAACAAAGTTAGTTGAGTTACAAAAGTCTCTTTTGCTCCAAGTTGGCCACCAACGAGCGATTTTCATGATTTTTGTGAAACTTTGCTGGTTTTGAATTTGAATTTTCTGTCCTCGATAGTTGATGCTCAGCAAGAACCACGGGAAGGTCTGGAGCAGATCTCGCTAGGAAAGGAAAGGGCTAGGAATTGTTAATGAGAGATAGAACGTTATACAGTACAATACAACGGAAATACAATACAGGTACCTACAATCTAGCTACAATACAGAATACACTACAGATACAGATACAATTCAGATACAATACAAATGCAAAGTTAGTACCCAATACACCACCGGAAGAAATTGCACCAAAAATTGAGAATGTTGCAAAATGAAAACCCAAACAAGCACACCGATGGAACTCGGGACGAAATCTATTGGTCGCAGCGCTCACACGCCCAAGGGAGAACGCAGCCGCATAAATCCAAGGTCGTCTTACCTCATTCTCAAAGAACGATGCAACCCAGCGTCTAAGGGCCAAAAGAACCCCCCAATGCACCGTGAAAACAAAGCGTTTGCAGCACTGGAGCTAAATTGGCAAGACCCAAGTTAAGTTAGTAACACATACAATTTACAGTAGAAAATACTTCAATTACAAAAGTTACAATATACAAATTTCTCCACGTTTGCCGCGAAAGAGTGATGACTGTGCTCGCTCGTTGCTGTTGCCCAGCAAGAACCAAACAATACGAGGAGGTCTGGAGTGCGTCTTGCCATTAAAAGAGAGGACTAGGGTTTGATAGCATGGGTGAAGGACACCGTATTTTGTAAATTTGGGCGCCGTAGTTTAAAAATGATGCATACGGTATTTTGTGAATTATGAACGCTGCACTTTGTATATTCCAAAGCCGTACTTTATCAGTCCTGAATGCATGTTATTAACAACATATTTCAAAAAA